GGAAGGGACGGTAGCCAACCCAGGAAGAACCAGCAGCAAACCCGGGAAGTGCCGAGCAGACAAAAGAACAGCACAGGGTCCTGTGTCGTTCCTCCGCGAAGAAGGGGAGCGACAGTGGATGTTGTGGCCATCTGGGGAGTGAACGGCAGATGGAGGATTGATCTCTCTCTCTCTCTCCCTTTATTTCTCTCTCTCTCTCTCTGTCTCTCCTTCTCTTTTTGTAATTCTGATTTTTAAATAAATTAATAAATATTTTTAAAAATATTGAAAACCACCAATATTAAGTTTGGCCAAGAACATAATATAACTATAAAGGAAACAGTTCTAGTTATTAAATATATTCTGAACCACTTTCTTCATACCCTATAATTCTCCTTCTTCATGGTGTTCTCATTGCTGTGGAATAATTGATCAGGTGATCATTAATGTATGTGACTGTGAAATTAAGTCAAGAAAGTCGTTAAGAAAGAGATAAGGACGACAAATGGCCTCTTCAGTGAGAATCAGACAGTGGGATTAGAGAACACCAGAGTACAGATGGGTACAGAATTCTCTCTGTTCAAATTAAGTACTAAAGAGTTGAAATAATGGACAATGGAATTGGGTATACATGAAACCGGATCAATGTCCAGGGACCAGTGACATTCTCTGTCTCCTCCTTTAGTCAGGATTCACTGTAGGAGGGCTAGGCTGTGTACACTGGGCTGGGATGATGCCTCCAGAGTGGTGCATCCAGGCTCCTGGGGCAGCCCCAAGACTGGGGTCCATGAGATTCTTATTTTGTTCCTTTCAGTTGGGGTGGGGCTGGCACCCCAGAAATACATGCAAAAAATAGCTATTCAGTTATGCAGAAATGCTGGAAGTATTAAAACTTTTGTAAAGGTGTATCCATACAAGTATGGTAAGTTTTGAGATCATCAATTGTATTGCACATGCTTTGTCAGTTTTTATAATATTTGATAGATTTTTAAAAATCCAACAACTTAGAGAAAATGACATGTTGACTTTGTTTTTTTTTTATATTGTTGCATTTATTTATTTCAGAGACAGAGACAGATGGAGATCCCCCTCATCTACTGGTTCCCTTTCAAAGTACTGCAGCAGCCCGAGCTGGGCCACGCTGAAGCCAGGAGCCTAGACATCAATCTAGGCCTTCCACAGAGTGGGAGGGACCAAAGTGTTTGAGCCATCACCACTGCCTCCCAGGCTGTGCATTAGCAGCAAGTTGGATTCAAGTGCTTGATGCACACATTGAACAGGTGCTCTGAAATCGGATATAGATGTCCCACCTGGCATAACCATCAGGCCAAACACTTGTACTGGATTTGTAATGTTAATTGAAATGCTTAGAAAATGTTAACTCAATAGCCAGGTTTTAATGTCTAGAAAAATTTTGTTTGTAGAGTTAGGGGTTTGATTTTAATATACTATTTAGGGAAATTTTATTAAGTATACAAGTTCCTTACAAATGATACATGCAAGAGAATTTAAGTTTCTAAATGCTATTTTGCATGCTCAGGAGAAGTTAATTTGTGGATAAACTAATCACTAACCAACATTAGAAAAGCTGATGCTGAAAAGCCACCAAGTCTTTTCCACCTTTCTCACTGCTCTCTCAGGAATCTTTTAAAGGCTCCTGGTTTTAGTTCTGCAGTCCACTGATAATTCTAAATGCCTCTTGTTTTTGAGAAGCAAAGACAGGCAAAGCAAGAGTTTGCATCTGCTGATTTACTCCCCAAATGCCCACAAAGGTCCAGACTGAGCTAAGGCCAAAGCCAGGAGCTAGGAACTCAATCCATGTCTCTGATGTGGTGGCCATTTCTTTTCTTCCTGGAGATCACCCACCAGAATCCCAGCTATTCAGCTCTTACAGCTATTCATGGTATACCAGGTGCATTTCTTTTCACATCTTTTCAAGGATGGAGACCTTGTTTCCTGGATGCTGTCTTCCTGTTTTTAAATTTATTTATACCCTCCTTTTTCCACCTTTCTCCCTTTAACCTGAATTCAGCCGTAAGTAACTTTCTAAGAAATGTATGTGGAAAGGGTTTTCTGTGGCTGCATGTCTGAAAGTGTCTTTATTGTACTTTCCTACTTGGTTTAGTTTGAATGGGTAAAGAATTCTAAGTTGAAAATATTTGGGGTGGGGTTGTGAGTGTTTGGCATAGTGATTAAGACATCTGCATCCCACATTGGAGTTCATGGGTTGGAGACCCAACTAGCTCCCAATTCCAACTTCCTGGTAATGTGCTCCTGGAAAGGTTATCAGTCAATGGCTCAATTAGTTGGGTCTCTGCCACCCATGTGGGAAACATGAATTGAGTTTCTGCCTCCTGGTTTGGGGCTGTCCTAGCCCTGGCTATTGCAGGCATTTGGAGAGTGAACCCACTTGATGGGTGCTCTCTGACTGTCTCCATGTCTCTGCTTTTTAAATTAAAATAATTAATTATTCATTTTTTTTTGACAGGCAGAGTGGACAGTGAGAGAGAGACAGAGAGAAAGGTCTTCCTTTGCCGTTGGTTCACCCTCCAATGGCCGCCACGGCTAGCGCGCTGCGGCCGGCGCACTGCACTGATCTGAAGCCAGGAGCCAGGTGCTTCCTGGTCTCCCATGGGGTGCAGGGCCCAAGCACTTGGGCCATCCTCCACCGCACTCCCAGACCACAGCAGAGAGCTGGCCTGGAAGAGGGGCAACCGGGACAGAATCCGGCGCCCCGACCAGGACTAGAACCCGGTGTGCCGGCGCCGCTAGGCGGAGGATTAGCCTATTGAGCGGCAGCGCCAGCCTTATTAATTAATTTTAAAGACACCCACCTGTTGAAAAATATTTATTAATTCAATATTCTGGAGGTTTTTTTTTTTTTTAATTCTCTTACATTCAGGGTTGCTGTGGATATGTCTAGTGCATGCTAACCCGTGTGTCTATATCCTGAATTTTCCTGAGGCTATAGCTAGGTATATTTTTGTGTTTTTTTTTTTTTTTCGTTTTGTTCCATATACTAAGTGTAGCTTTCTAATTGGAACCCTTGTTTCCTCTATTACTCCTTAGATGTAATTTACCCCTCAAGTTTTTCTTTTTGAAGGATATTCTTAGTTTGATGCTATACTTGCCATAATTGTCTTTTCTTTCATATTTGCCAGTTGTACCTGTATTTTCCTACTTTTTAAAAATTTATTTGACAGATAGAATTAGACAGTGGGAGAGAGAGACAGAGAGAAAGGTCTTCCTTCCATTGGTTCACCCCCCCAAATGGCTGCTACGGCCAGAGCTACACCGATCCGAAGCCAGGAGCCAGGTGCTTTCTCTGGGTCCCCTATCTGCAGGGGACCAAGCACTTGGGCCATTCTCCACTGTCTTCCTGGGGCCACAGCAGAGAGCTGGACTGGAAGAAGAACAACTGGGACTAGAACCCAGCATCCATATGGGGTGCCAGCGCTGTAGGCGGAGGATTAACCAAGTGAGCCCCAGCATCGGCCCCTGCCCTACATTTTTTGAGAATTTCTCAAATTTATTTCTAGTTGGCTTATTAATTTTTTTGACAACCAAAGGTTTAGTCTTCTAGGGCTCTTTTTGTATTTTCAGTCGGTTTTTCCAAGACCTTCTGCTCTTAAGGAGTACAATTGCTTCTTTGATCTGAATATATTTCACAAATGTATTTTCTGTTTCCTCATTTATGCTTCTTACAGTTAGGGCTTTTCATTTGCTGACATAGCTTTTTATCCTTCCAGACTTTTCCATGTATCTTGTGATCCTCAATTGTCCCTTCATATTTAAGAAAACACCAGGGGTGAGCATTTGGCAGAGCATCTAAGACACTCCATGGGATGCCTGCATCCATATCAGAATGCTCAGCTTCAAGTCCTGCCTCTCTTTCTGATCCCAGCTTCCTGCTAATGCACACTGGGAGGTGACAGATGGTAGCTTAAGTACTTGGGTCCCTGCCACCCAAGTGGGAGATCTTATTTGAGTTCCAGCCCCCTGGTTTAGGCCTGGCCCAGCTCTGGCTGTTGTGGGCATCTGGGGAGTAAACAGCAGACAGATCTCTTTCTGAAGTCTCTTTGTCTCTTTCTGTCTTTCTATTTTTCTCTCTCTCTCTCACTATCTGTCTCAAGTCTTTCACATAAATTACAAAATAAATAAATGATAAATAAATCATTATAAAAGGGATAAAACTAAAATGTTTACTCTTAATGGCTGGTATGCAATCTCTGTACCGTTGAAATGCTACATAGATTTTGGGAACAGGCTTCCCAGCTGAACAGCAAGTCTGATTGGGCACTCCATCCGTGCTTGAGGGTGCTGCCTACTTGTGCCATAAATGCCACATTGAGGATGACTTTACTGTGGGGGTCCTAACCAAAGGGAAACCCTTAGTTTAATTCCACTGTCTTCAACCATTTATTTAGGAATCAACTTCTCTAGATTTTTTGCCTGAAGTCCTGGGCAGATTTCTGAGACTTCTGTACGGAGAAAGGAATGGTAGTAGAAGGAGAGAAAGTGGGAGGGACATGCCCCACTGGCACAATTGTCCTGAATGTAGACTTCCAACTAGTTGCCCTATTCCAGGCTCGCTTCTCATCTTTGCCCTTCACTCTCATGCTGCACTGAGCCCTAAGCCTGTCCCATTAGTATTATTTGGCTACATCTTCTTCAGGTTGGCTGATTTCTGTCAATATTCCTTTCACTTTTCTTCTAGAATTCTATGATGCATATGGCCCCTTCTTTTTATTTCCTTGGTGCTTCCAGGCTTATTTCTTTTTGTGCTTCTATTTCTCTCTTCAGTGATACCCAAGGTAAACAGGACATAGGCATGTGTGTGTGCAGCTACCATATGGAACCTGGAGACCACTCAGCTATTTTTGAATCTTTTTGTTTCCATAAAGGTACTGTGCTTTTATACCGTCACCCATCAGTCATGTCCTCAAGAGTAGGATCTAAGTTAATGACCAGTATTTCTACTATATTTCTGTTTTCTTTTGAAATGCATCCTAGTGCCTTACCCAAGATCTGAAGGTGGCTGGGAAGGATCAGCTTTTGAGTCCAACAGAAAGCGCTTCTGTATGATGTTCCTCCCGTTGTTCACATTAAGCACAGGATAACCCATCTGTCTGGTCCAAGTGTCCATCACTTCTCCCACTGGAAGGTTACTTGCCTACAATTGAAAAAGAAGTAGAGATTGACTAATTAACAAGTAAGGGAAAATAAAAGAATAGGATAGTCAGATAAATGACGGATAAATCATTTGTAAGTCAGACAAAATAGTATTTCTTCCTTACCTCCTCCAGTGCTTTCCAAAAATCTGAAGTTTTTGCATTTTGAAAATGGAATCTTCTCAAGTAAATCTGAATGTGAAAGATTACAACCATTTTAGAAATAAAAGTTGGATTTTCTCATGCTTCCACAACATGAACTGAACCCCCACTCACAGCTACTCAGTTCAGCCCCTGCCTCCAAGCTAAAGCCAGCAAAGACAATATGTGAATGAATGGGAAAGCCATCTTCCAATAAACCATTATTCCAATAAACTATTATTGAGTCTCATCGGTTTTATATGTCATGAAATATTCTTCTTTTGATTTTTCCCAAACCACTGGAAAAGGTAGAAACTTTTTTGCATTCTTGGATCTTAAAACACAGACACTTGGGCTACATCTGATCTGTAGCTAGAGGTTTGCCCTCCTCTGTTCTATAGAAATGGATGAATAATCTTTTGAATAATGAGATGATGGATGAGATGGATGAGTTGATGGATGAACTGGGAAACTATTTACCCTACAGAACAAAGGCTTTACTCTCAAATATTTTAAAAATATGAAACTTTCAAATAGAAGGCTCCCACTTTGGGAAATTCTGTTCACAACACCTCTCTCAACACTGGGGTTTTCAGATATGGTGTAATAAATCCTCAGGGGGACTTTATGTCTGCTAATCCTGTAACTGGATGCTACCTGAGGTTTCCAGGAACCTTCCAAAGTTCTTATTGTCTCACTCTTGTTACTTTCTAGAATTGTTCCATTTAAAACATGGAAGCTTTGAATAGAAATACTTGTAGAACCTTCACAAGTGTTCTTACTGGTTAACTTTGAACATATCATTTTTAGTCTGAGTTGCTATAATTTTCCATCCAAGTCATGTTATCTTCTAAATTCCTTTTCTTTTCAGGCACACAGTATTAGCGAGAACAATATTTACTCCAACAATAGCCACTCCAAGAGACTTGGAGCAGGGCTGAGGCTAACTTGGAATGTTGTCTCCATATTTGTTCTTTTGATTAATTCACTTCTTAACACTACCACCAGAGGGCAGGCAAAGGAAGGCAGAAACAGCAAATACCGTTCTCTGTGTCAGTTTTAGGTAAGCAATCCAGAGGGTCCTTGTGTCATTTACTGTAGCTTGATAAAATACTTGGACATAGTATAGTAATAATTATCATCATGTGTTAATGAAAAATTTTTATGGAATAGTATCATCTTAAAATTAATGTGGCAGAGATTATCTTACAATGAGATATTTTATAATGTCTTGAGCAACCTGCAATCTTGGGACTAGAGGGCTCTTTGTATTATTTAATGTAACTCCTACATTTTAGAGGCAAAGAAACCTGCTACCTGGGTGGCTGTAAAGGTGAAAGGATTTGCCTGAGATCATTATTGAGTAGAATTCTCAATCTCAGATCCAGGTTTTTGGTTTTTGTCATCATTCTTGTTGTCCTTGTCTTTTAAACTGCAGTGCATTGCTTCTGAACTAGAGGCTGAATGGGAATTTACATAAACATTAGGTTAAACAGTGCTGATTTCGTTTTGTCGATATTAGTGCTTCCGAATTCTCTATATTAGGAAATTTCCTTCTTCACCACCCTGAATAATCACGATGAAGTCATTCCAGAAAGGGAAAGAACACTTCCCACCCAGGCCATTCCTGCCCTCTCCGATACCAGAAGAAAAGCAGAAGGGTGGGTAGACTTTTTAGTTTCTATTTGGTAGCCTTTTATGTTATCTATTATACTCTTTATGAACTGCCAAAGGATCAAGGATTTTCCAGTTGATTTTGCTCTCCTTTCCTTCAACTCTGTATCTGTTTTGCTATCTGAGCTTGGGTTTAAAAGAAGGCAATGAGAACAAAAAAAGGTATGGACAACCAGCCATCACCAGATTCAATACCTGACCAGGTCAGCTACTGCAGAGCATGGATTATGGAATGTAAGGGCAAGAATCACACTTTGTGTATAATAGCTTAAGGAAGATACTGTTTGGATGCTTGAACTTTGTGAGGGAATGTTCTGGTTGGCCTAAGAGCTGACTGAACATGGCCTACATTGATCATAGGTTACTTTCAGCTATTACCTAGTATTTGATGGTTGAAGGAAAGGAGTGAATGGTTTGGTCGTTTTTTTTTTTTTTTTTTTGTACATTTATTCCATAGAGCAATAATGGTATGACAAATTTATATCTATTCATCTCCATTCAGCTTACAGGACCACAGAGATTTAGGGTAGAGGAAAACTATTTTAACTTCATAAATATTCATTTTAGACAAGATTTTTTAAAAAAGTAATTATAGCATAGATACTGAGTTAAAGGAAATCTGAGAGTATTATTAAATTATTAGAAAAACTATTTGCTTTCAAGAACTACTTTGATCCTTCTCTTAAGAAGTGAATATGAAATATCACTTAACTTGGAGTCAGCTCTGAAGATATCAAGAATGTATTATCAATTACAGTTTCATTTGGAATGAAACTATTCAATGGAATTTTAATGTAGGTTTTAAAAATGAATTTTATTTTTTTAAAAGATGTATTTTATTTATTTGAAAGACAGTTAGAGAGGTAAAGACAGAGAGACAGAGAGTGAGAGAGAGAGAGGTCTTCTATCCACTGATTCACTCCCCAAATGGCTATAATGGCCGGAACTGAGCTGATCCAAAGCCAGGAGCCAGAAGCTTCTTCTGGGTCTCCCATGTGGGTTCAGGGACCCAAGGACTTGGGCAATTGTCCACGGCTTCCCCAGGCACATTAGCAGGGAGCTGGATCAGAAGTGGAGCAGCTGGAACCCAAACCAGTGCCCATATGGGATGCCAGCACTGCAGGCCAGGGCTTTAACCTACTGTGCAACAGTTCTGGCCCCATGCATTTTCTGTATTTCTATGCTTTATTTTATTTATTGCAGACTATTCACTCATTCATTCACCAGGTATTTTCTGGATCACCTAATAATTGTGTGTGTGGTGCATACTACTATGCCTGTGAGTATGCAGTTTTGATGTATATACAAAACTATGGAGGACAGGGTTCCTGACTACAGTTGCTTACAATAAGAGAAGAGCTGATGAAATCTGAAGCTGAAGCTGAAGCTGAAGGAAAAGTCACCGAGGTCTCACCTACATGCAAGCACAGCGTATGGCTTCTTTTGCACCCAGTGCCACAGATTGTCTATTAATGGACAAAGCTGTACAACGTACCAGTGCACTCCTAAATAGTAGCCTTGGTCTCGTTATTTTTTTTTAAGATTTATTTATTTATTTGTAAGTCAGAGTTACACAGGGAGAGGAGAGGCAGAGAGAGAGAGAAAGAGAGAGAGAGGGGTCTTCCATTTGCTGGTTTACTCCCCAATTGGCCGCAACGGCCGAAACAGTGCCAGGAGCCAGGAGCTTCCTCCAGGTCTCCCACACGGGTGCAGGGGCCCAAGGACTTTGGCCATCTTCTACTGCTTTCCCAGGCCATAGCGGAGAGCTGGATCAGAAGTGGAGCAGCTGGGTCTCGAACCAGCACCCATATGGGATGCTGGTACTTCAGGCCAGGGCATTAACTTGCTGCGCCACAGCGCCAGCCCATCTTGTTACTTTTAATCATTACACAGGAATTTTAGTATTGGATAGAAGGAGACCATGTCCCTTTGGGGAAGTACAGAGACAACAAGATGACACATTTGGATGTGGCCATCAGAAGGAGACTGGGATGGCGGCACGATCCCAAGGAGTCATGCCTGTAAGAAGTACTGGTTCTCCTTGTGAAAGCTGTCGGGTGCTGCCCCCATCTGTTTCCCATTTGATGGACTGGGTACCACCATCAGCACTGCTCTGCCTAACTTCCTCCATCATCACAGCAGGGACGATGGATGTGGAAGGGAAAGAGAAGGAAGATGATTCCATTTCTAGGCTGGAATGGGTCCAACCTGCTGACAGGACATTTGCAGGGCCCCACTGTAGTTGCTTTGATAAAAACCAAGCCTGAGGCAATCGGCTTTGTGTTTGCAGGAAGAACAAAAATGAAGAAGCTGAAACATCCCCTGGAGTAAAGCACTTCAGTGGGAAGTGTAGAGGAGCTGCTGTCTTTCCTGTTTTCAAAAGGAAGCAACCACAAGTTGTACTTTCAAAATTTATATTTATTAAATAAAAGTTAAAAAAAAATAAACAAACTTGTGGGGAGGAAAATGAGACATCTCAGTAATTGCCCTGTAGGTACCATAAAATGCCTGGCAGAGTTTAACATTTCCTAGCTTAGTATACCTGATGCTCATTAGAAGTTTTCATCTCAGAGTGTTAATTAGATGGTGCCACACATTACTACTTAATGGATCTGAAATCTTGGGCAAAGGTCACTTGACTAATCGTTATTTTGCTTTGTTGTCTAAAGCCAGTGAATTCTTCCAGCAATAGCAAATTTCCTTTGCAATTAAATAATTTAGTGCAGAACTATCAGTAAAATCCTGTGAATAGAATGGCAAATGTCCTAACAGCACTCTGGCCTCATAATCAGCCCTTAAGGCATGTGGATCCAGCTGAAATGCCCATGAGAGTATTTCAGGCATGGAAAGCCAAGACACTCTGGGGGGAAAAAAAAAAAACACCTAAATGAAAGATCTCCACGAGTGAGATCCCAGTGGAAAGAACGGGTCATCAAAGAAGTAGGTACCTTTCTCTGAAGGGAGGAGAGAACTTCCACTTTGACTATGGCCTTGTTTAAAAATGATCAGAGTCAGTGAATCCAGGGGGCTTCCATAGCCTTGGCAGCTCATGACAAGAGCCTAGGGTGATTGCTGATGCCATAAACAAGAGTGTCAAATTGTTAAGTCAACAACAGGAGTCACTCTGCACTTCCTCCTCATGTAGGATCTTTGTCCTTAGTGTGCTGTACATTGAGATTTAATGCTATAACTAGTACTCAAACAGTATTTTTCACTTTATGTTTCTGTGTGGGAGCAAACTGTTGAAATCTTTACTTAATGTATGCTAAACTGATCTTCTGTATATAAAGAGAATCGAAAATGAATCTCGACATGAATGGAAGGGGAGAGGGAATGGATAAGGGGAGGGTTGCAGGTTGGAGGGACATTATAGGGGGGAAGTCATTGTAATCAATATTCTGTACTTTGGAAATTTATATTCATTAAATAAAAGTTTAAAAAAATCAAAAAAAAAATCCTGTGAATATCCATGTAAAACATGTACAAAGTGTGTTGTTTACTTACATAAACTGATATATTCTAAAAAAAAAAAAAGAAGAAGAAGCAGCCCTCTTCATTCACTGATTCCATTATAATAATATTTCCCTCTTACATAGGAAGCATTTTCCAATCCAATCGAAGGAAAAATGTTCTATGCACTCTAAGGGGAGAGCCTCACAGGTAGATTCAAATCTCCCTATCACACTGTGTTCCCCTGAAACTCCTGTAGGGGGGCCCTCACCCTTAATGCATGTGTGTGTGTGTGTGTGTGTGTGTGTATATATGTATAAAACACCTGAGCTAAGGGTGTATATTATATATACACATATATATATACAACCTTGATGTGTGTGTGTGTATATATACACATACTCACACACACATATATATACACACACTATATATATTTTATTATATATATATATAAATATGTCATGTGAGTACACAGTGAGAAGACAAGCATGTGCAAGCGCAGAGAAGGCCCTGTCCAGAACCTGAATTCAGCAGCACCTAGATCTACACATCCCAAGCTGCAGAACTGTGAAAAAGAAACTCCTGTTGTCCAAGCCTACTGCACTGTGCCACAGCAGCCCAAGCCAGGGGACTACTACATATACAAAGGCTTTCCAACATCACTGCATAGTCTGCTCCAGCTTCTCCGTGAAACCTCTGCTTAATGATTACAGATACAACGGAAGCACATCACCAGACACAAAGTCACCTCTCATCATTTTTTGTAGAATCTATTTCTGAATAAGGAAAGTAATAAGAAAATGATCCTTAATAAATCACATACCTTAACATGCACCAGTCACATATTAGTGCAAGTTTACTTTTAATACCACTAGAAGTAACAAATGATACCTGGCATCCTTCTTTAAATCTCTCAGGTGTTATCCAGTCTTCAAGCATTCTCAGAATGGAAGCTCCCTAAGATGGAAAAAAATGAAAAGTTAAAAGAACAATGGGGCCGGCGCCGTGGCTCAATAGGCTAATCCTCCACCTTGCGGCACCGGCACACCGGGTTCTAGTCCTGATCGGGGCGCCGGATTCTGTCCCGGTTGCCCCTCTTCCAGGCCAGCTCTCTGCTATGGCCAGGGAGTGCAGTGGAGGATGGCCCAGGTGCTTGGGCCCTGCACCCCATGGGAGACCAGGAAAAGCACCTGGATCCTGGCTCCTGCCATCAGATCAGCGCGGTGCGCCGGCTGCAGCGGTGGCCATTGGAGGGTGAACCAACGGCAAAGGAAGACCTTTCTCTCTCTGTCTCTCTCTCTCACTGTCCACTCTGCCTGTCAAAAAAAAAAAAAAAAAAAAAAAAAAAAAAAAAAAAGAACAATGGATATGTAAGGGACAAGTGTCAGTTCCCACTATGCTGAGTGTTTCATGCTCCTATTTATGAAATTATTTCTTCAAAGCTATTCTGATAAGCTATAGGGCTATATACCTATGGTTTTAGGATAAAAATATCACTTGGCACTCTCCTTTATCGACGTTACTAAAATACTAAAAGATCAGGAGAAATCATTTAAAGGGTCATCATTTTTGTGACCGCAAGCTCAAATAACTATTGCACTTCTGCAATGGACCAGCAGATGGCGCTTTCCTAATGAAATAAAAATAAACAGAAAAAAATGTTCTTTGATGAATAGAAAGTTGTTTAGGGTAAAAATCAAGCAATTTATTGAATATATTTCCTTATGGAAAAAATAATTATATTTGGTATATATAAACACATCGTCAAAATTAATATATAATATTAATATATAGATACATAATTTAGGCACAAAATTATTTGAGTGGTTTGTATCATTTGGTTTTCTTTCATCTGAACAATCTGATGACTATCTGCCCTCCACCTATCCTTCATGTGTTATAAAAGTAGTACTAAAATGCACTACTTATGAGATTTTAAGTCAATTTTCAAGTAACAGACCAGAAAAAAACACCTCCCACTTCAGTTAGTAACTTTTACTAACGTTTATTAAATATTCTAAATACTTTTGTGCCTATTAAGAAAGTTAAAGGCTTAGAAACATTTATTTGTTTCTGACCTAATATATTTTTATATATATAAAATATTTATTTTATTCATTTGAAAGGTAGAGTTACAGAGAAAGGGACAGAGAGAGAGAGAGAGGTGTTACACCCCCTGTTCACTCTTCAAATGACCACAGAGGCTGAGGCTGGGCCAGGCTGAAGGCAGGAGCCAGGAGCTTCTTCTGGGTCCCCCATGTGGGTACAGGGGTTCAATGACTTGGCCATCCTGGGCTACTTTCCCAGGCACATTAGCAGGGAGCTGGAATGGAAGTGGAGAAGCCAGGACTTGGTCCTGTGCCCTTATGGGATGCTACTGCTGCAGGCAGTGACTTAATCTGCTATACCACAATAATGGTCCCTGACCTAATATCTTAATCCATGGAGTATCTAGGACTCAGGAGAAAACTGATTCAGTAAATGCAAACTTCTCCCATGTGAGTTGTTGGAATGGGCTGTTAAGTAGATAAGAAATTTTTCATTTCAACAGGAAGATAATCATTAAAATGAAAATGAACAGAAGATTGAAAGTACCTCTAAGAAGAATATGAGAGGTAAAGTCAAAAAGTATGATGTTATAAATTTCAAATAATAATGTACAGAAGATTTCATCCAATTTAAGCCAATTTTATCTAGGATTAATTTTCATAATTATAATATGCTTGACTTGAATAAAATTTTAGATATCACCTATGATAACAAATTGTATCAGCTTGCAGTAGCCTTTGAGCAATAAAGTGTAGTAGGCAAGCCATGAGAAACTGACATGGAAAATGACTATAATCAAATTTTAAATTATGTTATCCACAAGTCCATTATATGTTTGAAGGAGAGACTGTAGGAGGTATTGTGGGAGACACTTGGGTAACATAAAGCTTTGGGTTATAGAATTCTAATAAATTATCAAAAAATTTTGGTGGATAAAAATACTTCATCTATATCATATGAACAAAGTCACCTTTCAATCTTATCTAAAGATAGTTAAGCCGGCGCCGCGGCTCACTAGGCTAATCCTCCGCCTAGCGGCGCCGGCACACCGGGTTCTAGTCCCGGTCGGGGCGCCGGATTCTGTCCCGGTTGCCCCTCTTCCAGGCCAGCCCTCTGCTGTGGCCAGGGAGTGCAGTGGAGGATGGCCCAGGTGCTTGGGCCCTGCACCCCATGGGAGACCAGGAAAAGCACCTGGCTCCTGGCTCCTGCCATCGGATCAGCGCGGTGCGCCAGCCGCAGCGCGCCGGCCACGGCGGCCATTGGAGGGTGAACCAACGGCAATGGAAGACCTTTCTCTCTGTCTCTCTCTCTCTCATTGTCCACTCTGCCTGTCAAAAATAAAAATAAAAAAAAATAAAAAAAAAGAGAGAATCGAAAATGAATCTTGATGTGAATGGAAGGGGAGAGGGAGTGGGAAAGGGGAGGGTTGCGGGTGGGAGGCACGTTATGGGGGGGAAGCCATTGTAATCCATAAGCTGTACTTTGGAAATTTATATTCATTAAATAAAAGTTAAAAAAAATTAAAAAAAAAAAAGATAGTTAAAAGTCTTTTCTTCTGAGAATTTCAGTATTTCTTGTCAGTCGTAAAGGATTCTACTAGAAAAGGTATACCCAGATGCAGCATTTCTTGTTGAGCACATGGCAAAAAAAGATTTCCTGTATTCAAAAGAATCTTAAATAAAACAATTTACAATTTGATGCTTAAATTCTAAATGTTTGATGATTAGAACTTTTAAAACATATTTATTTATTTATTTTAAAGATTTATTTATTTACTTGAAAGTCAGAGTTACACAGAGAGAAGGAGAGGCAGAGAGAGAGAGAGAGAGAGAGAGAGAGAGAGAGGTCTTCCATCTGCTAGTTCACTACCCAATTTGCCACAATGGTCGGACTTGTGCCAATCTGGAGCCAGGAGCCAGGAGCTTCCTCCGGGTCTCCCATGCAGGTGCAGGAGCCCAAAGACTTCTGCTGCTTTTCCAAGCCACAGCAGAGAGCTGGATTGGAAGTGTAGGAGCTGGGACTCAAACCGGTGCCCATGTGGAATGCTGGCACTGCAGGCAACGGCTTTACCCTCTATGCCATAGTACCAGCCCCAAATGATTAGAATTAAAACAGTTATAAACAAAAGTGAAAAGGGAAAATTTTTAAGAATTGAATTCAAAATCTCATGGCAATAACTACCAGTTCCACTGGAAGCACAAACTATTTAATGTTTAGCACTCAGAATAAATTCTGTACTGTATTCTAGAACCCACTAGCATAGTCTAACTATTCTTACGACTGTTGGGACTTACTAAAATAAAAGTCAATGAATAGGAAGATACTCAAAAGAATGTCTTATCTTGCCCACCTTACTGTAGGATATTCCATCAAAAACAGATGTTATTTCAGCAGGGGTTGACACAGTGACAACAATCGGGTGTGATGACATTAAAGAATCATCCTCTTGTACAGGTAATACATCTTCAGTTAGTATCTGGTCACGCTGAAAAGGCAGAAGGAACCAAAGAAATAAGCACTTTTAAAATACTGATTCATATATATATAATCTTATATATATCATATACAAGGTTATATATACAATATATAATCTTATACTTATCATATATAAGATTATAGATACAATATATATGAACTTTAATATATAATAAAATACAGGAAAAGTAAATATAAATGACACAAATTATTTAAAACAAACAAGACTTCAAATCAGTCATATTTTACACTGATTGATCTATTGAGTTATCATTCCCCTCTTCTATTTATAACTCCTTTAACTTCTTCCCCTGTATGCCAGGCCGAGAAGACATAGCATCTACAAATTCTGTTTCTGCTGCCTCTGTGTGAATTTTCAAGCCCTGATTCTGCATCTGTGTGATGGGAATGATGACAGCACCCAACAGATTTGTTCTGAGCCTCACGTGAGGTGCCACGTCAATTTGCCAAAACTTGATGCTCAGCTTTAAATTAATATCAATTTGAAATTGGAATGAGTCTAAATTAATTTAAAAAGTAGTTCTAATAATCGCCTCTCATTTCAGTCCTAGGTTTTCTTAAAAAGAAAGAGTGGTTGAGAAGTACAGCAATCTAATCAGACTTGTTTGGGTAAAAGCTCGATATTTCCACTTTCTGGATATGGAAGCTTAAACAAATTACCCTAACCCTTAAGTGTAATAATGGCATGGATTAAATGATATAATTCATGTTAAGCTCTTGGCATAGCACCTGGCACAGAGTGGAAGCCTAACAAATGAGTTACTATGTGATTCTTGATAAGATCCTGAAATCTAACTCTGTTAAGTCCTTACTGATTTAAAAAGAAGCTTTATTGGTCTTACTTAATTAAAAATATTTCTTTTTTTTTTTTTTTTTGAAAGGCAGAGTTAGACAGTGAGAGAGACAGAGAGAAAGGTCTTCCTTCTGTTGGTTCACCCCTCAAAAGGTCACTACGGCCGGTGCTGCGCCGATTCAAAGCCAGGAGCCAGGTGCTTCCTCCTGGTCTCCCATGTGGGTGCAGGGCCCAAGCACTTGGGCCATCCTCCTCTGCCTTCCCGGGGCCACAGCAGAGCTGACCTGGAAGAGGAGCAACCGGGACAGAACTGGCGCCCTAACCGGGACTAGAACTCCGGGTGCTGGCACCGCAGGCAGAGGATTAGCCTAGTGAGCCACGGTGCCGGCCCTAAAGATATTTCTAAAACAAACCATGCTGTATTAGTTTACATTTTCCAATTTTATTATTTCCATTTATAATAGACAAGTTACTATTGTCAAGTGATAACTGCCAATTAAGATAATTTTCACTTGGATTTTGACTTTTGTGTACTCAAGAGGTTTAGATAAGTAGAAAAAATACTGCTCATGGCATCAATAAATTTGATTGTTGTAACTGTTTTTGTTACCAGTTATCTGTATAATGTTGACAAGTTACACTGTCATTTCCACTCTCAGATTTTTTAAGAGAAAACTGTGATACTTATCAAATTATATTATATATTTATTTATTTAATCTCCTCACCCATAACACTTTAAATTAAGAGCTCCTTAAGGGACAAGAAGTATATTTTGTTCATTTGCAGATCTTCTCTACTGTTTGTTGAATAAGAAAAAAATGAATGGATGAAGGAAAGAATGAATGTGTTGTACCTTATATTTAAATTTCATTTAAATACCAAGAACTGCATGCCAAATTCTTCCAGAATTTAATCAGTATTTTTGAAACACTGAAATGGGGATATTAGGTAATTTTTTTTTTTTTTTTTTTTTTTTTTTGACAGGCAGAGTGGACAGTGAGAGAGAGACAGAGAGAGAAAGGTCTTCCTTTGCCGCTGGTTCACCCTCCAATGGCCGCCGCTGCAGCCGGCGCACCGCGCTGATCCTGGCAGGAGCCAGGAGCCAGGTGCTTTTCCTGGTCTCCCATGGGGTGCAGGGCCCAAGCACCTGGGCCATCCTCCACTGCACTCCCTGGCCATAGCAGAGAGCTGGCCTGGAAGAGGGGCAACCGGGACAGAATCCGGCGCCCCAACCGGGACTAGAACCCGGTGTGCCGGCGCCGCAAGGTGGAGGATTAGCCTATTGAGCCACGGCGCCGGCTACTTTTTTAAAATATTCATTTATTTGTGTGAAAGGAAGAGGGATAGAGGGAAAGAGATCTTCTATCCACTGTTTCATTACCCAAATGGCTGCAGAGGCCGGGTCTGATCCAAGCCAAAACCAGGAGCCCAGACCTCCATCCAAGTTTCCTACATGGGTGGTAGGGACTCAAACATTTGGGCCACCTTCCATTGCTTTCCCAGCCATTAGCAGAGAGCCGAATTAGAAGCAGAGCAGGGCCAGCGACATGGCTCACTTGGTTAATCCTCTGCCTGCGGTGCTGGCGTCCCATATGGGTGCCAGTTCTAGTCCCAGCTGCTCCTCTTCCAGTCCAGCTCTCTGCTGTGGCCCAGGAAGGCAGTGGAGGATGGCCCAAGTGCTTGAGCCCTTGCACCCGCATGGGAGACCAGGAGGAAGCACCTGGCTCCTGGCTTCGGATCAGCACAGCACTGGCCGTGGCAGCCATTTGGGGGGTGAACCAATGGAAGGAAAACCTTTCTCTCTGTCTCTCTGTCTCTCTGTCTCTCTCAATGTCTTAAAAAAAAAAAAAGCAGAGCAGCCAGGACTTGAACCAAGACTCATATGGGATGTTGGGGTTGCAGGTGTCAGCTTAGCTTGCTGTGTTATAATGCTGGCTCCTAGATAATTTTAAAGTGTTAGAATTTCTTATAACAATTTGATATTAGGGCGACAAGTTATTTTGGGAAAACAAAGCAAAAATATTTTCCACTTCTGTGGTTTATTTCCATTCTATCATAAAATCACTCATTTTCAGTATAGATGAGTGGTTCTCAGGAAAGATTTTTGTCCTCCTGGGGACATTTGGAAATGATTAGAGACATTTTTGGTTGTCTGCTGGGCCAGAGGGTTACTAGCATTTAGCAAGTAGCGAGAAGGAGGGCTGGTGTTCAACATTCTACACTGCACAAGATGGCCTTCCACACAAAGGATTATCTTGTCCTCAATCTCAGTTGTTGAATGGTTAAATTTTTCAAGAACCAAATGTTGCAAATTAGCTTTTTTAAACTTTTAAAATAAGCAAAAGGAAACTACAAGGGCTTCAAGCACTTAACTTTTAAAATTTTGTCCAGTAGAGGGAAGTATTCTACATAGTCCACAACCTCTTGTAATTCTCTACTTTCGCACATCTATGTATTTATATATTCATAGACACTCAGATGTGTGGATTTCAAAATACCTTATGTGAAAATAAACTTATCTTTTGATTCCATTTGTCACAAGGTTTTTGAAGTATTCCCATGTATTCAATTAGATTAAAATGTCTGTACAATCTAAGTATAAATAACAAAGCAAGTTTTTTTGAAAAAAAAAATTATAGAGTTCATAGAAGTTTTGTTGCAGGCCCTGCAGGTGCACCCTATATATTAACAGTCACTAAGTGTAAATTTGGGGAGGTTTTAAGCTTTTTCAAAATAAAGAACAATATCCTTGCTGAACACAGAGACAGCTGACTCAGAGAGATTATGTAACTTGCTCAAGGTCATTTTCCTGGTTATATGTATCTAAGAAATGATGTATTCAGAATTTGAACTTGAGTCTAACTGCTAAGCTTATGCTCTTATCTCTTTACCATACTATTTCAGCAACTTGTCTTGTAAGACAGACATTTTTAAAAGAGTTGGTGCTATACTTTCTTGAACAAAGGATTGTTGTTTTTTTTTTAATTTATTTATTTGAAAGGCAGAGCCACAGAAAGTGAGAGGCAGAGGCAGAGAGAGAGAGAGATTTCACCTGCTTGTTTGCTCCCTATATGGCTGTAATGGCAAGGATTGGACCAGGCTGAAGTTAGGAGCCAAGAGCTTCTTCCCCACATGTGTGCAGGGGCCCAAGCACCCAGGCCATCTTGCTCTGCTTTCCTAGGCCACCAGCAGGGAGCTGGATCAGAAGTGGAGCAGCGGGGACTCAAACCGGCATCTGTATGCAATGCTAACACTGCAGGTGTTGACTTTACCCACTATGCCACAGCACCAGCCACCAACGGTTGTAATTTTCTATAATAGCTATTTTTTTTCTGGCCTTAACATCAGTTTTGAGTAAATCTGTCAGGGGAACTTCAGACTGTGGGGGTCAGTTTGCCATCTAGAGACTGGGCAAAAGCCGTGGGCTAGGTAATGTCCCTTGGAAACCAGCTGACTCCACCCTTTTCTCACAATGGAATTCCCAACTTAGCACTGAGCTTGGCCCCTGATATAGGTCTAAGGCTTCAATCTGCTTTACATGAGGAAAAGAGATATTAGGAGTTTATGTATTCAGGACTCACCATTTGCCAATCACTTTCTGCATGGTCTACTCCCAGGAACTCGAAGAAAGAAGCAAATCCTTCATTTAGCCACAAATCGTCCCACCAGTCCATGGTCACAATATTTCCAAACCACTGAAATTATAAGCAACAAAGAGATCAGTAAGTCCTCATATTTATGTTAGAGAGATCTAGAAAATTACAGAATATTTATTTGTCCTTGCTAATTTGGTCACTATAACACAGAAGTGGTAGGCATGGTACTGAACATTTATTTCTTGCTTTATTTATTCAGTTTTTTAAAGGTTTTACTTATTGGAACAGGCACTGTGGAGCAGTGGGTTAAGCCACTGCTTGGAACATCCACATCTTATGTTGGAGAGCCTGAGATGCAGTCCTGTCTCAACCTCCAATCCAGCTTCCTGTTAATGCACCTGGGAGAGAGTAAATGATGATCCACTTGGGTGCTTGCCACCCATGTGGGAGACCCAGTTGGAATTTCTGGTTCCTGGCTTTGGCCTGACCCAGCCCTGGTTGTCAGAGTCATTTGGAAATTGAACCAGTGAATGGGAGATCTCTCTTTCTCTCTCTCTCTCTCTCTCTCTCTCTCTCAGTCTCTGTTACTCTGCATTCCAAATAGATAAACTAAGAGTTTTAAAACATATTATTAATCTGACAGGAAGAGAGACACAGAGAAAGAAACAGAGAGCTCCTATCCACTGTTTCACTCTCCAAGTACCCAAAATGGCTGGGGCTGTGTCAGGGCCACAGCCAGGAGCTGGGAACACAATTCAGATCTCCCATGTAGGTAGCAGGAACACAAATGCTTGAGCCACTATCTGCTGCCTTCCATGATCTGCATTAGCAGGAAACTGGAGTCAGGTATCAGAGCAGGGGAATCAATCCAGGTATTTCCATGTGAGACATAGGCATCTTAACCAGTGTCTTAACCACTAGGCCAAACACCCATTTGTCGCTCCCCCTCTTCGTGGAGGAACGACACTAAACCCTGCCTAGGTTTCCTATCCGAGTCACGGCACCATTATGTCGCTCCCCCTCTTCACGGAGGAACGACACAGGACCCTGTGCTGTTCTTTTGTCTGCTCGGCACTTCCCGGGTTTGCTGCTGGTTCTTCCCGGGTTGGCTACCGTCCTTCCACCTCCGTGGAGGGGCGGTTCCCCCTGCCACTTTCCCCACTTCCGCGGGGGAGCGGCACACCGCCGGCCGGCTCTCTCGGGGGCTGCTCAGGTGTTCCCCTTAGATGTTCCTGGTGCATGTTGTCTCTCTCCTCCTTTATAGTCCTCTTCCACCAATCCCAACTCTGCTACCCACACGCAGAGTATGCTGCTCTCCTCCAATCAGGAGCAGGTCCTGCTGTTTATTGGTTGAACTGGAGGCAGCTGTGTAGAAGCTGTTTCCTCCTCTCCCAGCGCCATATTGTGGGAGAGCAGATGCATAGAATAAGTCTTAATTCCAGTAACAGTCTAGTCCGAGTTGCTCCCCACACCATTTATGTCCAAATTTTTAAATGTTATTAAACTCCCCTTAATTTAATACTTTATGTAGATATTATGGAGGGGGCAGCATTGTGGTATAACTGTAAAGCCACTACCAGAGCACCATCATCCTATATGGTGCAGGTTCAAGTCCCAACTTCTCCACTTCTCATCCAGCCCCCTGCTAATAGCCTGGCAAAAGCAGTGGAACACGGCACAGGTGGTTGTGTCCCTACCACCCATGTGGGTGACCCGGATGAATCTCCTGGCTCCCAGCTCCTGGCTTCAGTCTGGCCCAGCACCAGCCATTACAGCCATCTGGAGAGTGAACCAGTGGATAGAAGATCTTTCTCTCTCTAAGTCTGACATTCAAAATAAATAAATAAGTCTTATAAAAAGGTATCATGGGAATATATAACATTATAGTAGGGCTTCCTGTGTAATTACAAACAGCAAAACAATGTGTTTTACTGTTTCTTTATGGTTAAATGTTTATTTTCTGGGTTGCCTAATCCTTATTTGCTACACTGTGAATAATCTGAATTACCTCTGGGTCTTAAGCCACTTTTATATATTTTATTTTATTTATATTTATATATTTATTTTCATTTTATTGTTTGAAAGATGTTCATCTGCTGGTTTATTCCCTAAATACCTGTAGTATCTGGGGCTAGGCTGGGCTGGGCCAGGCTGAAGCTAGGAACCTGGAACTTAATCCAGGTCTCCCATATGGGTAGCAGGGACCCAACTACTTGAGCCATCACCTGCTGCCTCCCAGGGTGCACTTTAGCAGGTAACTGGAATCAGAAGCAGAGCTGGAACTCAGCTTAGGCACTCCAATGTGGGATGCAGGCATCCCAGGCCATGTCTTTAACTGCAGTATCAAATGCCTGTCCCTTAAGCCACTTTTTAAAACAAGCTAATTTGAAGTCAAGCTCCTATACCTGATGTACAAGTTCATGGGAAACCACAGTCGCCACCCTCTGCTTGTTTGATGAGGCTGACTCCTGCGGGTCATAAAGCAAGTTGGTTTCTCTGTAAGTGATGAGTCCCCAGTTCTCCATCGCACCAGTGCCAAAGTCTGGAATAGCGATTTGATCTATGGAAAAAGAAAGAGTCCAGTGAGACATACATTCTTTCCATTTCTTCACAGCAGCTCTTACCAAATTAAGTTCTTCAGATGAATGTTTTTTAAAAGGCTAAAAATAATTTCTTAGAGTCAAAAACAGTAATCATTTGTGCAAACATTGCAGTCCTAATGCACTCAAAATTTCCATGGTGTTTTTCCGGTTGGCTCTAGATATCAATGCTTCCTTTTTGTTCCAAGAAGGATGCTCATGGCACTGCTCTTTTACAGGCCTTCATAACTTTCTGTCTTTTGTTTCTCTGTCTATATGGTACTTCATTAGCTTTCTGTACCCCATGATTTTCACTTAGGAATAGAAAGCATCTGTTTGTGGGATTAAGCCGTGATAAAAAAGAGAATTAAGTTTTTATATGAGGACTTCGAGTATAGAGCTTTTAAGTACACAGAAATAAACTTCTATCTAAAGATGCAGAATATTAGAGAATATAAAACTCCATTTTCTTTTTTATAGAAAGTATTTAATAAATATAAATTTCATAAGTACAACTTTTGGATTATAGTGGTTCTTCCTCCCATACTCACCCTCCCCCCCAAACCATCCCACCTCCTACCCCCTCTCCCATCCTATTCTTTATTAAGATTCATTTTTAATTATTTTTATATAGAAGATCAACTCTATACTAAGTAAAGATTTCAACAGTTTGCATCCACACAGACACAAAGTATAAAGCACTGTTTGAAGACTAATTTTACCTTTAATTCTCATAGTACAACACATTAAAGACAGAGGTCCTACATTGGAAGCAAGTGCACAGTGACACCTGTCATTGATTTAACAATTGACACCCTTGGGTCCGTTGCTGTGGCGCAGTGGGTTAACGCCCTGGCCTGAAGCGCTAGCATCCCATATGGGGCCGGTTCCAGACCTGGCTGCTCCACTTCAGATCCAATTCTCTGCTATGGCCTGGGAAAGCAGTAGGAGATGGCCCAAATCCTTGGACCTCTGCACCCTCTTGGGGGACCTGGAGGAAGCTCCTGGCTCCTGGTTTGGATTGGCACAGCTCCAGCCGTTGCAGCCAATTGGGGAGTGAACCATCAGATGGAAGACACACACACACACCCCCACCTCTCCTCTCTTTATGTAACTCTTTCAAATAAATAAATAAAAATCTTTCAAAAAAATTGACACTCCTATTTATAGCATCAGTGATTTCCTGAGGCTCTTGTCATGAGCTTCCAAGGCTATGGAAGCCTCTTGAGTCCACAAACTCTGACCTTATTTAGACAAGGCCATAATCAAAGTGGCAATTCTCTCCTCCCTTCAGAGAAAGGTACCTCCTTCTTTGGTGGCCCCTTTTTTCCACCCAGATCCCACTCACAAAGATCTTTCCTGTAGGTCATTTTTTGCCATAGTGTCTTGGCTTTCCATGCCTAAAATGCTCTTATGGCCTTTTTAGCCAGATCTACATGCCTTAAGGGCTGATTCTGAGGCCAGAGTGCTGTTTAGGGCATTTGTCATTCTATGAGTCTGCTGTGTGTCCTGCTTCCCATGTTGAATCATTCTCTCCCTTTTAATTCTATCAATTATTATTAGCAGACACTTGGTCTTATTTATGTGATCCCTTTGACACTTAATCCTATCTTTATGATCAGTTAAGAACCTAAACTGATCACTTTAACTAGTAAGATGGCATCAGTACCTGCCAACTTAATGGGATTTGGAGTCCCATGGCAAGTTTTTAGCTTTACCCTTAGGGGTAAGTCCGAGGGAACGTGTGCTGAACTGTACATCTTCTCGCTCTCTTATTCCCACTCTTATTTTTAACAAAGATCAAATTTCAATTGGATTTAAACACCTGAGAATAATTCTGTGATAAGTAAATAATTCAACCAATGGTATTAAGTAGAACAAAAAAATACTAGAAGGAATAAAGTAGTAAGTTGTTTCTCGACAGTCAGGACAAGGGCTGATCAAGTCATTGCTTTTCATAGTGTCAGTTTCACTTCTACAGGTTTCCTTTTAGGTGCTCAGTTAGTTGTCACAGATCAGGGAGAACATATGATATTTGTCCCTTTGGGACTGGCTTATTTCACACAGCAAGTTTTCCAGATTCCTCCATTTTTTTGCAAATGACCATCTGCAGTGCCAGCATACCATATGAGCTCCGGTTCCAGTCCCAGCTGTTCTACTTCAATCCAACTCCCTGCTATTGGCCTGGGAAAGCAGCAGAAGATGGCCCAAGTCCTTGGACCTCTGCATCCGTGTGGCGGACTTGGAAGGAAATCTTGGCACCTCGCTTTGGATTGGCTCAGCTCTGGCTGGTACAGCGGATGGAAGACCTCTCTCTCTGCCTCTGTCTCTCTGTAACTCTGCTGTTCAAATAAATAAATCTTAAAAAAAAAAAAAACCTCCATTTTCCCCCAAATCTATACAATTTTAAGTCAACCAGAGTCCCTAACAATTTAATAGCATACTGTCCACTTACTTTTTTTAAAGATTTGCTTATTTGTTTGAAAGACAGAATTTCAGAGAGGCAGAGGCAGAGGGAGGGGGGTCTTCCATCCAATGGTTCACTCCACAGATGGCTGCAATGGCCAGAGCTGGACTGATCTGAAGCCAGGAGCCAGGAGCTTCCTCTGGTTCTCCTATGTGGGTACAGTGGCCCAAGGACTTGGGCCATCTTCTACTGCTTTCCCAGGCCACAGCAGAGAGCTGGATCAGAAGTGGAGCAGCCGGGACTTGAACCGTCACCCATATGGGATACTGGCGCTGCAGGTGGTGGCTTTACCCACTACGTCACAGAGCCAGCCCTCACTTATATGTTTTGAACAAGCTGGAAAATATGGAATTGAGGACGTTCAATCTAAATTCCCTTCCAGACCTAAAATGTTGCATTCTGTGAGCAGTTCCTTCTCTTTATTTTTAATTGAGTTTATACTCTTAGACATATTATCTAACAGGAGCAGGCAGTGTTTAGCAAATTCTACATTAAGTTCTCAAATAGAAAATGCTCACTTGATAAGTGGACAAAACACAGCTTCCCCAGTTAACAAACCATAATCAGAATGTAATTTCTTTTATTATATATAATTTAAATAAGGTACAGGAATGCAAATAAATTGAGTTTTCACCTAACAGATTAAAAAAAAAGGGTTTTTGTGCTGGTAAAAGATTTTAGAAGCTCCTTATAAAAGAATGAAAAGGGAAATATCTTAGAGGTCAAGATGACAGTAGTAGTTTCCTTTTCATATTATCTCCATTTTCAGCTTAAAGGGGCAAAATGTCTCCTCCATAGGCCAACATTTTCCATAATGTTGTAGAGTATAACTTGTACATAATCCATGAACAAAAGGAATTTTTGGCACTCTCATTTTTTTCTGGCAATATTCTTAATCAACCCCAATACATTTGACTTTTGGAGCATAATAAATACAGAAGTCATTTCTAAGCAGTCTACATAGAGTTAAATCTTTCTGCAAAGATTGAAAATGCACATAATAAAGTGTACTGAAGGAGTGGGAGGTGGGGGAAAGAGAAATAAATTCGTGATATTCCCACTTGTTAGGTTACCCTGGGTAGTACTACTGAGATAAGACCTTAAAACTCCTGTGCTAAATATTTTACTGAATATCATTCTGACTTTCACAAAAAGTTGCTTCTCTTTCTATCTCCTTTTCTAATGGTTGTCAAGCCATCAACAAATGGAACTGCTTCCATTGACAAGAAAACCTCATTCAGAGAATTTGGGTTTTCATTGATGTTGTGTTAAAGTAAGGGCAGAGGCCCTATCTAAATACTGACGGAGTTTGTGAACTCAAAAGACTTCCATAGCCTTGGCAGCTCATGACAAGAGCCTCTGGTTATCACTGATGTCATAAGTAAGTGTGTCAATTGTTAAATGAACAACAGGAGTCACTCCCCTCGTAGGACATCTGTCCTCAATGAGTTGTACTATGAGAATTAACGGTAAAACCATTCTTCAAACAGTACTTTATATTTTGTGTGTCTATGTGGGTGCAAAGCATTGAAATCTTTACTTACTATACAGCTGATTTTCTGTATATAAAGATAAGTAAAAATGAATCTTAATGAAGAATGTGATGGGAGAGGGAGTAGGAGGTGGGACAGGAGTAGGAGTGGAGTGTGGGTGTGGAGGGGAAGAACTGCTGTATTCCCAGAGCTATACCTATAAAATTTACATTTATTAAATAAAAGCTTTCTAAAAAAATAAAGTAAGGGCAGAAATGGGGAAGCCAATCATCAGTTTCTTTGTTTTCTTACTACCTTCATTTCTTTCCTACAAAAATCTACATGAATGCTCCATTTAAAGTTTTGCCAATACCAACCAAATTTGTTAATAAAGTGGTTCTGCTATTGATGGAAGCATCATACCCACACCATTTTGATCATAGCCCCACTTTTGTTTTAAAAAGGAAACATATCTCATATATGAAAAAAAATATTTCTGGAAGGAGCACCGATGTTTGATTTTAACTGCTGGAAAATCTAGTAGTCTTGCGCAAGAATGGAAAGATTGGAAACACATGGAACTCTTACAACATCATTGAGCCCTATTAGTTTCCAAGCCACTGATGATAGGAAGAAAATGGGAGCCATGGCGGGGGAGGCGTTCCGATTTTGAAATCAACTCATCTAGGTTGCTCTTTCTGGCTCCCTCACTGTCAAGCTCTGCAGTTGTGTGCACGTACTTTCATTTTATTTGGAAACAAAAGATGATATGTGTATCAGATGAGAACAGAGAAATGACATTGTTCTTGCAGGGATTCAGAATGGCTCTGTAAGCAAAAGACACATATTGTAGTCATATAATAAAAGCATTAGGGCTTACAGCATTGACTGATGGTGACATAATTGGAAGAAATGAGTTAGGTAAAACAAAGGCAATACTAAAAACATGAAAATAAAAAAATTGATTCTCACCTAATTTAGGAAGAGAGTAACTCACACCAAAGTAGTCTTCAAAATAATCAAACACAATTTTAGTTATGTTTGCAGCATATTCAGCTGTATGACTTTGCTCAGGCTGGACATAAATAGTAAGCTATAAAACAAAACAAAAAATTCAGGGAAAATTATTTATTTGTTAAAATACAAAAATACACAATATAGTTGAAAAGGAGTAGACTTTGGAGTCAGGTAAGTCTGGTTTGGATCTCAGCTCTGTTGCATAGGATGGGCTGCAAAGTTTTGTGCACAATGCCATTGAAATATAATGGGGCTTTTCCATGAACATTTTGAAGTCCCTCATACAGGCTGTGTGGGCTCAGACAAATCACATCTCTGAGACTTATGTAAAAGATAAATAAAATTACATCATTCACTGAGTGATCTTAAGGGCTAGAAACAATGTAAGATACAATAGTTGGCACAGCATCCCAGACATCAAAAACTATGACCTTTTTTTAATTGGAAAATATACTGTCTTTTTAATATCTATGAATCTATGGATCTATCCATCTGTCTACCCACCTCTATCTCTCCCTCTGTCTCCACTCCCTTTCTGTGTGTGCAGTTTGAAGAAATGAATGCATGCAATTTTTCTCATGCAAAGAACCCTTGAATACATACACTCCATGTTTGCCATTCTTTCTAGCTCTTGCAAATTACCCTTCTGATATTGTGGCTGTTCTACTCCCAGAGCCTACACTATAATGATCTGAAAATTTCCTAAATTGGTCATCTTGGTAAATTACATCAATTCTCCAACTCACTAGGGTTTTATTTTATGCCTCAGTGACATAATTTATAAATCAAACCAAGTATACACTTTCCCCTAGTTCCTAGCACGTAGGACTTTATAAAAATTATCAACGACCCTCTCAAAAATAATGTTGTGCAAGCAGATGTGGTTGCTGGGGGCTGGAGTGTGCACACACACACCCTTAGGTGTTCGGGAACTTCTCAGTGCTTCAGACAACCAGTGCCCACTAAAATTTTGTGAGACGTTCAAATGAAACATTGCTAAGAATGATTCAAAATCCTGAAGAAAAACTAGAGACACAGTCATCTAGGAAATACAGGCTCATCCACCTGACTGCCATGTGATTCAAGATTTTAAAAAAACAAAGGAAGGCCAGCGCCGCGGCTCACTAGGCTAATCCTCCGCCTTGCGGTGCCAGCACACCGGGTTCTAGTCCCGGTCGGGGCGCCGGATTCTGTCCCAGTTGCCCCTCTTCCAGGCCAGCTCTCTGCTGTGGCCAGGGAGTGCAGTGGAGGATGGCCCAAGTGCTTGGGCCCTGCACCCCATGGGAGACCAGGAGAAGCACCTGGCTCCTGCCATCGGATCAGCGCGGTGCGCCTGCCGCGGCAGCCATTGGAGGGTGAACCAACGGCAAAGGAAGACCTTTCTGTCTGTCTCTCTCTCACTGTCCACTCTGCCTGTCAAAACACACACACACACACACACACACACACAAAGGAAGAAAAGAACAAGACCTACTTTCTTCCTTTAGTATTCTCAGTGCATTGCTACTTCTGCTTCTCAATTAAGTATATATCCGAGCCATCGTTTCTTTCTTTTCTTTTTCTTTTTTTTTTGGCAGGCAGAGGAGTTAGACAGTGAGAGAGAGAGACAAGAGAAAGGTCTTCCTTTTTCATTGGTTCACCCCCCAAGTGGCCGCTACGGCCAGTGCATTGCAGCTGGCGTGCTGCACCGATCCGAAGCCAGGAGCCAGGTGCTTCCTCCCGGTTTCCCATGCGGGTGCAGGGCCCAAGGACCTGGGCCATCCTCCACTGTACTCCCGGGTCACGGCAGAGAGCTGGACTGGAAGAGGAGCAACCAGGACTGACTCAGGTGCCCCAACCAGGACTAGAACCCCGGGGTGCTGGCACCGCAGGCGGAGGATTAGCCTACTGAGCCATGGCGCTGGCTGAGCCATCATTTCTTAGAAATGAAAAGTAGAAGGACTAGTGCTATGGCATAGCAGGCATCCAATATGGCGCCAGTTCAAGCTCTGGCTGCTCCACTTGTGATCCAGCTCCCTGCTACTGTGCCTGGGAAAACAACAGAAGATGGCTCAAGTCCTTGGGCCCTTGCACCCATGTGGGAGACCTGGAAGAAGCTCCTGGCTTCAGGCTTTAGCCTAGCCCAGCTCTGGCCACTGCAGCCATTTGAGGAGTGATGGGAAGACCTCTTTCTTTCTACCTCTTGCTTCTCTGTAACTCTGCCTTTCAATTAAAAATTACAAAAGAAAATAAAAAAAGAAATGCATTAACTAAATCTATTTTCAAAAAAAAAAAGAGAAAGAGAAGTAGAAAGACCCAATAATTTAAGAAGACAATAAAAACATCTTTTTAAACTATCTGCACCGACTCACTGCTCTCATGGCCACTGCATAACTGACATTCTTACCCTCTCTGAATGAATAATGATGTGCTCCAAAACAAGACAACTTACTCAGTTAGCATCTCAACATCCTTTGAGGCTGCCTTTTGGTTTTTAATTGCTGGGAGTGATGACACAATTCCTCACTGCCCTCCTGTCTTCTGTATGAACAATGCCATGCATTTCCAAGAAGTGAAACCAAGGTTCCAGTGGAGGGGCACTGGACACAACAAAGGTAACCGACCACATGATCTTCCAGGATTGCCACGTCCGTCATAAACTCAGAGTCTCAGGAATTTTTCATCTGCAAACTAATTAGTGTGTTGAAACTCCGTTTGCATTTCTACCACGTCTGCTCTCTACCATTCCAATTTCAGGAAGGGCAGTTTCTCTTCACTCATTCCACTGTTGCCTATAAATTTTGTGCTTTTCTCTTGCATCTAAGTCTAGGGAACGAGAGATGGTTGGGAAAGAGATAACAGTGAGTACTTAGAACAACAGGAAAGAAACAGACTTGGTGGAGTTTTTCTACTACTACTTTCTCCTTCCCCATGCCTCTTTAAGCAATATACTCCTGAGACAATATACTGTGTTTTTTCTTACTCCCTTATTTCTGTTGGTGACAGCAACAGAAATATGGGCTCTTTAAATAAGATTGGTATTACTACAAATTCAGTCCACATGAAAGCAGTCCCTTCACCCCCTGTTTCTGAGAAACAGAACCTCTTGAAGTATGGTCTGTCTTTGGCCAGTCTGCAAATTAGCTGTGATCTATGACCCTAACTTTGAAGGGTCATAGAGCAAATTTTATAAACACTGCTTTGATCTACTGAGCTAAGCAGTCACAGAATAGACAGATATTGCCCAATAATTTTTTCAAATTTTAAAGATTTATTTTATTTATTTTAAAGGAGAGTTATAGAGAGAGAAGGAGAGACAGAGAAAGAGAGAGCTTCTGTCTGCTAGTTCACTCCCCAAATGGTCACAACAGCCATGGCTACAGCCAGGAGACTGGAGCTTCTTCTGGGTCTCCCATGAGGATGTAGGAGCCCAAGGACTAGGGCCATCTTCTTACTGCTTTCCCAGGCCATAGCTGAGAGCTGGATCAGTAGAATAGCCAGTTCTGAAACCAGTGCCCATATGGGATGCTGGCACTGTAGGCTGCGGCTTTAACCTGCTGAGTCACAGCACCAGCCCCATGCCCAGTAATTTTGTAATGCAATTAGCCAAAGCATTTCTATGAGTGCATCCTATCATATGTCACAAACATGTGTTTATATTAAAGACTAGCCAAATGCCAGTATCATCTGTCATTTGAAATTCCAAAGTAGTTTATTTTGCATCTGTTTAATAGCAGTATACCTGTGATATTGGGACTTGGTCATTGTTTAAAAAAGTGTCCTAGGGGCCGGCATCGCGGCTCAATAGGCTAATCCTCCGCCTCGCGGCGCCGGCACACCGGGTTCTAATCCCAGTTGGGGCTCCAGATTCTGTCACGGTTGCCCCTCTTCCAGGCCAGCTCTCTGCTGTGGCCAGGGAGTGGAGGATGGCCCAAGTGCTTGGGCCCTGCACCCCATGGGAGACCAGGAGAAGCACCTGGCTCCTGCCTTCGGATCAGCATGGTGCGCCGGCTGCGGCAGCCATTGGAGGGTGAATGGCAAAAGAAGACCTTTCTCTGTCTCTCTCTCTCACTGTCCACTCTGCCTGCGCGGACAAGGAACATAGAAAAAAAAGTGTCCTAGGGCAGGCATTTGGCCCAGTGGTTAAGCTTGGGATACCAGCATCCCACTTTGGAGTTGCTGGATTCAACAACTGCGGCACTCCTGTTTCCAGCTCCCTGCTAAAGTGCACCTCAGGAGGCAGCAGATAATGACTCAAGCATTGGGGTCCCTGCCACCGACGCTGGAGTCCTGGATTGAATTATGGGCCCCTGGCTTTGGCTTGGCCCAGCTCTGGCTGTTGAGGGCATTTAGGAGCATTTAAGGAATGAACCAGTAGATAGGTGATCTCTCTCTCTCTCTCTTTCTCTGCTTTTAGAAAACAGTACATCCTCCCCTCTGCCAGCACCTTCACTCAGTCTCCAATACACCTGTCCTGCTCTCAGCCTCACCCCCACACATGCTCATCTGTGCTGCCTCCACTTTCTCCAAGTTTGGCAGAGGAGATTAGCTCCTTGGCATCACCAAATAAGCCTCAGCGTTCCTTTCCATGCCGGAGTCCAGTAAATAGCCCCTGAATTGTCATTACTCTTTAATAATAATCACTATCTTTATAGTTTATGTCCTTGCTCTACGGAGATGATTTTTTTTTAAGTACACAACTAAGCATATTGAAATAGCCTGGAGCAAGGCCCCAGGGATACGTAACAGCTATTTTCTTTTTATCTTTTGAAAGAGTCATATATGCCTTTATTTTTCAAGGATCTTATTAGAATTTAAATATAAAACTGATATGCAAATTTTGTAACTTTATATGTAAAGTAAAAACATGTTTGTAAGTCTTCAAGAGCCTAATTTTTATGCATATATTTGTGTCTTTTTAAAGACGCAAGTTCAGGGCCGGCACTCTGGCATAGCGGGTAAAGCCACTGCCTGCAGTGCCGGCATCCCATATGGGTGCCTGTTTGAGACCCGGCTGCTCTACTTCCAATCAAGCTCTCTGCTATTGCCTAGGAAAGCAGTAGAAGATGGCCCAAGTGCTTGGGTCCCTTCACCCAC